CGAAACAAATGTTGATGTTGCAGCAAGTGGCGCAGCCTCATTGGGCAATGATGAGAATGTTGATGGAACTGAGTTGACCCTGAAAAGGGGTCTAAAATCGTGGTCTCACAAATGGGGCCCCTGCTGCTGTTCGTCCATGAGCCAAGGGAGTTGATCGGTACCACCTGGTGTGACGTGCAAACATTATCCAGCCGCGAGCGGTATCCACGATGGGCAGAAATCCTTAGTATAATTACGGTTTGTTTTGTAGACACGGTTAATATTGTCTGCTATATTTGCCAAGGATGGTTTCACGTAACTTTTTTTCCCTCTCCTCGAAATTGGCACGGTGGGCTATGTACGGTGGGAAAGAAGTTCAACATACACAAATACAAAATGATGTTTTCGATTAAACATATATATGGTACCTTTCCCTAACGAAATGTATCTCCTTAACAAAAACTACCACGTTAACCTTGCTATCACACATATTTAGGTAATGTGCAGATGCAATGCTTGAAGAAAATCATTGGAAGTATCCACCACCCCAGCTGGTACCAATAAGCCATGTTTGGGCTCATGGCTCAATCCACCGGGAAACAAACAAAGGGGCCGTTCATAAATGACGTCACGCACCTGGGGGGGGGAAGAGGGGTCAGACATTTGTGACGATGGGGGGGGGGGGGGGGAGTTAAAAATCGTCCAAAATCGTGTGACGTCATTTATGGACGGCCCCAAAGACCCCCGTATATCCTTAGGCGCCGTCCATAAATGACGTCACGCGCTTTTGGACGATTTTTGACCCCCCCCCCCCTTAATTACACAGCGTCACAAAAAGTCAGACCCCCCCTCAAATGTGACGTCACAAAGCTCTGCCCCCCCCCCAATTTTTTCACATGCTTCAAATCGCTTTAAACTATTGTCATTGTAGTGCGTATTTAATGTGGCGATGCACTCTGATGTTGTAGGAGAAAACATTTATTAAACAGTCTATTTAATTAAGTAGAACGTTTTGTCTATATTTATTTAAAGTTGCGCATTTTTATGTGACGTCACATTTCTCACCCCCCCCCGTCACACATCGTCACGAATGTCTGACCCCCCCCCCCCAGGTGCGTGACGTCATTTATGGACGGCCCCTTAACAGAACGTTGGGGTAATTGCTCTTGGTGAGCACCTATGAAGACTGGTACAGCACGCGAGGGGGTGGATGGCCAGCACTACGCCCGGCCGCATTTGTCTCCCCAGTGGCGATGTTTTCACAATTTACATTGAATGTATGTTGAACTTCTTTCGGACCGTATGTAGCCGATCGTGCTAATCGGATGTGAATTACATGCACACAGTGTATGTAAGGCTTTACTCGGGAGACATTGGGCACATGGGGACGTTTGCCATTTCAAGACAAGTTCAAGTTTAATTTGTTTACCCAGGTGAGAACTAGAGACCAGGAGAGTCTCATTTGCAAGGGTTACATGGGGCTTTAGTCTGTCAGTAGGGGGCGATTATTGCAATGATGCTTGATGTAATTACCAGCGAAACGTTGTACTCATATTGGAAATGTTGTGTATTTACTCTCCAACACGCCCTTGTTTACGTGACAAACCTTATTGGCTGTGTCGGGTGGTGGAGGGTTATTATGAATCCCAACTGAATAATGTGTGGATCGTTTTAGAATTTCGAAAATATGGGCTCTGAACAGTCGCGTGGTGACTACATTATCAGCTCAGGGAGGGTGCAGCAATTGATCAGGCGGGGCTCCAATATTTGATTTGTCTCGCACGGTCGCCAAACGTTACTGCTCTAGTCAAATTCAATCAAAACGTGGAACGTAAATGGAAGCATTTTCATTAAAAAAATACATTTAAGCAGCGTTTTAAATGTTTTTGTTATTTTACACTTGTTGAAGACATATCTCATGGTGGTTGTCCCAACTAGTAGCTTTGAACACCGCGGAGAGGGGTAATGGGCTAGGCACCCCCTGCCCCCAACTCTCTTTACGCTACTGGCGTTGACACCGGCACACTAAAACTAAACTAATTTTATTTTACCACGTAAGCCCCACTGAGCAATATCGCTCATTTTCAGAAGCAACTTGGTGACAAATGATAGCTCAACGAAGTGGCTCATCACATTTATTGCAGCCAAATACTCTAAAACGCACGTTGATTCTAAATGTGGAGGGGGAACCCCGAGGATTGGGAGAAAAATCCACGTGACCACGGGGAGATTGACATGCAAACTCCAAATAATCAGGCGTCAGGGTCGGAATCGAATCCACAACCTCCTGCATAACCAGGCGAGGAAGTTAACGTCTCACCACCGTGGCGCCACTCTTAGCTTCCTCTTGTGAACGACGTCAGGGGGATCTTTAACGTGCACTGTGAAGCAGACGAAGCGCAGTATCGTCACGGTGTTTACGCCCACCTTCCCCCCCAGTCATAATCAGGGGCGACTTCAAGTAGAAGCGTCGAGGAAGTGACTTTCACTTGACCAAACGCTTGCCCATATATGGCCATAAAAGCGTCAACAAAGGCGAGCCTGATGTTCATCCGTGCCATATCGTGGGGCAATCTCAAACGAACCGAAATAATTCAGCGGTGTCGCACTTGTTCTGGGATTAGGCTCCCCCACGCGTTGCAGAGTTCACATTTCAAACAGCGCACTGTGGTTGAACTGTGCTCGGCGGTGGTGGCAGGCGAGCTGGAAAACTTTTGGATCATGGCAGAAATGGCATTCAGAGGCAGAGTGAGCAGCGCTCCTGTTGCCTGGCCTGTAGCTATGCGTATCACAGCAATGCTGTTACCACAGTCGTAGGACAGAACGTTCAAATCCCAGCCCTCGTAGATTTAGCCACATTAGATGGAGTCCCATCGTCAGCGCGATCATTACCTGCCTGCCATAAGAGAAATGAACACCGCGCGATTTGTCTGCACTTATCAGCATCAGCAGCCGCGGTCTATACTTGTCAAATTTTCTTCAATTACGTATTGATTTGAAGCTTTCGTGACTGCATGAATCCATACTATTTGGTTCTTTCGGTAAAGTCACGTAGATAGAAAATTAATAGATCACGACGTTTCGATCGCAACACAAGCGAATTTGTATTTCTTACATTACCTTTGTCACTGTCTACGTGTCTGATCCATGTCACCGCAAGTAATATTCACAAGCGAAATCTCTCTTTAGGTACGTTGGTACACAACACATGGTTGAAAGTCACCCAATTAAAATCGCAGACGAAGTGCATATTTTGAATGATTTGAATTCCCCTGCGATTACAATGCTGCGTGAATGTCTCACTACCTACACTGCTCACGACAGCCAACCACGCAGAGTGTTTCAGGGGTTAGGTTATCCAGTAACACTGGGAAGAGTAAACCTTTTAATTATTAGCAACCTCCCTCCTTGCTTATGAACATTCGGCAACAAAGTGTTCTGTTCAGGGCTTTGCTACGAAACAGAGCACCCTTGTATTATTAAGCACGAGCTTTCACGCGTGTCCGGCAAAACTCGGCTCCTTTAAACTAAAAGCACCTGACGCAGCGGTCACGGAGCCAAGGGGCTACGAGAGGGGGCTTTAGGTGTTGTCGCCTTGGTTTTTGTGTGTGTGCGCGGCTCCAAACGTGGAGTTCGTCACATGAATTATGCAATTCATGTAAACGCCGAAAGTAAACCTCCCCCCCCGTTACGTGTTCTCGTCGTCGTACAAGCCACGCAGTGTGCGCTCGTTCAGGAAGTGTGCGCGTTCGTGCAGACGTTGAGTCAGTAATGGCCAGCGCTCTTCCCACATTTGAGGGGAGCGATGAAGTTGCACGGAGCCACTGGGGGGTTAATTCCACATTCCTATGGTGGAGGTTCGAAGACGATGCGTTTTGTTGGGCGTGTAATTCTTTTTGTGAATAATCGCAACTCACTTCCCAAACAGGAGACGCAAGCCTCGGGGCAAGTGGCACTTTACCTCACCGGGGGGGGGGGCATTAACGACGGGCTGGGGAGTCCGGGAATGAACGCGGCCCCGGAATGACAACTGCGTTCACGGCCACGCGCCCTGCGTCGTGAAACCTGGCACCGGTGATAATTGAACGCTGCACTCGCATTGCGTCTTGATTTGCGTCACCCAGCAAGACGTATTTTCAAAACACAATTTCCCAAACCACTGCCCCCCCCCCACTCCGAACTTCCATACATCACGCACTACACAGCCTAGAAACGATGCTGTTACAAGGGAGCTTTATTCAACATTAGGTAAACTAAGCTGTAAATATATTTAGTTTTTTTTACTTCATAAATATTTAAATAATGTATACTTTTCACTTTTGGCCTAATTTTTTTTCAAAAAACCCAATTAACTCTATCTCCGATTTCTGTATTGTGTGTGGGACGTTTGGAATTACTAGATACGTACTATAACTACAAGCCATGTAAACCTTAATAAAATGACAGGCATCAAAGCACCAGCCTAAAATCTAAACTATCAGCAGTTTAGATTTATTTTGTTCATGACCTAACGTCTGAGGAGGAAGGCGACTTCTCACGATGTTTCCCATTACGCGTGAAAACATTGCGACTGTCATTAAATCGGCGATTGAACGCCAATCGCACTCCCGAGTCTGAAGAGCAACATCAACAACTCTGTTAACGGCCCTTATAAGGGCCAAGTCAACATCTCGATCAGACCATCACTGCCCATCATGCAGCTAAAAACATCTACGGCAGATTCCATGCAACAACAAAAAAGCGCGATCTCACCAAAGTTGCTAAAGCCAAGAATGTCTTCGCGCGATAAGTCTCTCTGAAACCATTAAACTGTTCGTGGATCACAATTGTTCAGTGTGAAGTTTCAATTTTACCTTTAAAGTTATTCGAACAGGCGTGGGCCAAAAAAAAGCCACACCTCAGGCGGTGTGACATTTTTGAAAAAGAAACCCAAACGGTCGAGAACGGAAAAAAAACCACGGAAAAAGCCAGCGGCGGGACCCATCAAAACCCGTCCCCGCAGCGGCCGGAGAGCGCCTTACCTCCGGCTCTTTGCGCAGCTGCACCGGCTGCGTGTCCGGCGCATCCAGAGAGCGCTTGGCTCCCGAAGAGCAGCCGGTGGCATCTTTAGCCACCATCGCCAGGGTGAAAGGCAGGCGGTGGTGTCTCTAGCCGAGCGGCAAACGGCTGGGGTGGAGGGCGGGAGGCGGCGGCGGCGGTGTGCGCGCACCGAGGTTTGTGTCCGAGGCTGCGTGGCGAGCGAGGAACTGGTGACGATCGAGGGGGCTCTCGGCTCAATGTTCCCCCCACCACAGGTCCCGCCCCGCCCGCGATCTCGGTGGCCCGCGGCTGTGCGTGGCGAGCGGCGGTCTCACCGTGCGCGACAGGAATTTACGCAATTTTTTTTCACGTCCTCGTCGCTGGCTGGAGTTTTTACGCACACGCCACACATCGACTCGCGCGCTCACCCACTTTGCTTGAGACAAACAAAAATAGAGGAAACCGGTGTGGCAGATTTGTTATCGTGTTAATGAAAATGCACAACCTTCTTGAATAAAACGGTTCCACAATGTGTGGGAGACATTGCGCGCATAAATAAAACGTATTTGTGTATTTTGCAGTGACTTGCTATAATCTGTCTTACCAAGGCAAGCACTGCACAGCACTTGCTATGAAGTTGCCTTACTGGCTTAGGTATGCCAAGGAAAGAGACCACAACAAAAAAAAGTGTGAATGTAAATTTAGCATCCGTTGGCTTGGCCAGCTTAAGGCACACCGGACGTCACTTCCTAAATATGCGTGTAGTTCCTAAGTACAGTACTGTATAAACATTAATCCTGTACATGTAGACTTCACAAAGCCTGCAACGAACTGGTGCAAGTGCTGCATTGTGCACGCAAATTGAGGCCAGAATAATACGGCAATTGGGTCGTATGGCCAGCAAACCACCTACCCTCCTGCCTTTGTCTCCATAGAGTTGATGTTGACACGATGCCAGAAACCAATTTTATGACAGCCGAGTAAAGTGGCTCGGATGAGAAATGAGTCACGAAAGCTTTAAATCGAAATGCAAACGGATAGTTTGGAGTTCAAGTCCTGGTTGTGGGTTGACTCATCCCATCATCCCTCTGGGGTCGATAAAATATCCACCACTGTGGGGGAATCAACAGAGGCCGTTCTATGGAGACTAGCCTGCTGAAGGAATGGGGAATTTCCTACACCGGCTCAGGGATGTACACAGGAGATGAGCACTAGCTCGATGCTTATTTCAGCAGGAATCACTTTGACTTTTTGACTTTTGAGTCAAACTCGAGCAGCCCGTGACAAGTTCCAATTTCCACTCCAAGTACTCATCCAGGTATTAAATCCACCACTCTCAAGTGTTTACACCTGAAGTACAGTAGCACGTGCGCCTATACGCACGTTCTCACGCATATATGGTGTTAAGCGTAAACACTAAATACCATGTGTTCAGCAGCTCGAGTGAAATATGTTATTTCGGAAACTGCCACATGTGGAAATATGGGTGTGGCTCTGTAAACGATGGCATTGGAAAGGCTGCATGACCCCCCCCCGCACACCTGGTATGGTCCATGCAGACCACAAGAACACACTGTAATTTTTTGATGGTGAATTTTAAGAGGCCTGGGTTCTCAGAAACATGGAGGCCCTCACTGTGCCCTCCCCATATACGCATCAATAGGGCAGCCGTATCAGACCGGGAAAGTGAGAAACTTGGAACTCAAACAGAGCTCATTTCCAGCAGAAAAGCCATGAGGAAATCACCCAGTGGCTTTTGCTGACTGGGTAATCCAATGCCTTGCCCCCTTTGGGAACATTACAACACGAAAGGCGAATTTTGTTGAAAAGTGGCTCTTTAAAACTGTTTCATCCAGCTTCACAAAACGTTACACATCCAAATGAATGTATGAACAAAACATGATGCTAAGTGGGTGGCTTGGGGAAAGTTACTGATATCACACAGCCCTGCGTGGTAAATCGGATTTGTTTTGATAAACGTTTAAGAGCAACAACAACAAAAAAAACACAACTCAAGCACAAAGTTAACTCCCGTCCTCATACTAGTAACGACAGACAACGCGCGAGTCAAAGGGACAATTTTCAGCGTTAACCGTCTACACGTTTATTTCCTACCGCTTTACTCGAGCATAAAACTAACAGCGAGTCCGTTCTGCACACAAATCCATTTTTTTTTTACTCTAAAGACAAAGCTTGCACGGAAATAAAGTGATTCCACAATGGAGACGGTCTGGAGGGGGGGGGGGTTAGGATGGGGCACGCGCCTCAAAAACGACTATATACACGCCGCTGAAAAAAAAGGGGAGGTCGCAAACCCAAAGTCGTCGAAGAGAATATGCTAACATTTGTATAAATTAAATTTGACATCGGATAAATTTAACTGCCAAAAAAACATAAAACAAAATAAAACACACGCGGAGCGAGATAAAATAAACGACGGGGGTGAGGGGTACACAAAAATAAGGGAAGTTAAATCTGACAACGTAACATGTGCAGGAAGATTCTGTAGCTAAATATACAAGCTTTTAAAAAAGTTAACACTTATTTTAAACAGACTTTTCAGGAAACGAGGGGAAAAAAAATCCCCTTTCCCCTTGCTCAACAAGGTGTTCTGTTGACCGACAATTTGTTTTTTTTTATGAACAAATCAAATGCTCTTTGACAAAAGTGTGGTCAGTCTCATCCCAAAGTCCGGCGACTGAGAACATCGCGTGGCTTTGCTGCATTTCCACGTGAACACTGTTATTAACAATTTTAAAAAAATACTTCAGCATTGTGAAAATTAATAACCGAGGTCCACGGGGCCAACATGGGGAGGGGGATGGGTGTGGGGTGAGGGAGGGTCCCACCACCCCCCTTGTGCTGGACTTGAAGGTTAAATCTTGAAAAAATTATGATCATGCCCATCCGGTCCATTGAGCTGTGTTGCAAGATTCCTGTGTCTTCTTTTTTACAGTTCAATGTACAGACAAATCTAACCTACACAACTCAGCGTTGCCACCTCCTACACATTAACCTATAAAGAAACACTCAAGGAACAAGCAAACTGCCATCAATCCCCCTTCACCTTGAGGCCATCTTTCAGTCATTTCAATTTGGCCTGTACTCAAAATGCCGTTGTGCCTTGCTTAAAAGTGTACTTCACAGAGACAAGGGCAAGCTTCCTCATACATTCCAAGGTGCACCCCCTCAATGTACACACACGTCCTTCCGGAAGTCCAAGAGCAAGGGCCGCTTGCTTTTTCCGCAACGTCAACACGGGCCCCCCGTTTTTGTTCGTCCTGGGAGCTGGAGGCGTCAGAGTTGGGGGAACACGTGCTGGCCATGCGAGCGAGCGAAAAGAGCAATCGGTGGGGGGGGGGGAGCCCAAACACTGGTGCTGCTGGGGGGAGGGGGGGGGGGGTCAGGGCTAGCCCGTGCTCTGCGCTGCGTGAATGGGTCTCCTGCGTGTACAACGCAAGCAGATGTAGTCCTCTTTCTCGGCCATCTCGGTCGATACGCCAACGCACACCTGGTGGAACCAGCCGTCGCAGCCCCCGTCGCACTGCACCCAGTTCACCTGGGCCGCCGGGGTCAGCAGAAGACACAGACGAGACGGAAAGTCACCACGCGTTACACCGACTGCAACCATAGCAAATCCCTGAATAATTTTGTCTTTTATTCAAAGTAGATAGCTAGAGTTGTTATTTTGGAGGAGAGACGTGCTCCCGACGTTCGGTTTGATCCAAAAATATTTAAAAAATCTGGCCAAGAAGGAACAAAATTTGTTGAGGATTTGAATAACGGTTTTTATGTGGATTGATTAGAAATATTGACGTCACAGGAAGAGGTTTATATATTACGTCACTTTGTACTTTTCCAACCAAAAGTGGTGTCACGTGGTATAGGGTGACATCACTTTTGTTAGCATCAAGACATGCAGAATGATTACATAATGTAAATTATCCAAAAATACTGAATCTTGAAATGCAAAAAATCGTCCCTAATTCAGAGCTAAATCTATTCTAATAACTTCTTACGATTTGTATGAATAAAATCCTAAACGTACAACCTTCAGAAACCACAAGAAGAACACAGCGTTGATAAATTGTCTTTCAGGATCTATAGCCCTCACAGAGCATTAAAGCTTGGGTAACAGAGCCGACCCAATAGTAACCAGTATCTTTAATAGGAATTGCAATTGCAGCAACGCTGTTGATTTAAGATATCACTGAATTAGAAACAAGCTAATGTAGGAGGCATGTTCACCTAGACAGTGATACCAACAGCATAGATACATCACTGTTGACATCGGCGTCCACAGGCAGATAGCAAATATTATTTGCGGATCCCAGGCCAAATTAGAACATTAACATAAGCATACAATTCTCATGACAACCGCTGCCAAATAAAAATCCCCAACTAAGAATGAAAAAATAACAAGCTTGTACCAATAGATGGCACTAGTACTTTATGGCCATGGTATACCACGGGATTAAATCCGGGCAATTGGTTGTCATAGCTTTCTGGTGGAATCCCAGAGCTGTTAAAGAGATTCACCAAAATGGATCGCAGCGTCCGGTGTATTGGTCACCGCTGGTCTACACGGTGCGCATAAACACAACCTTTCGGTACGGCGTCTTGAGAAGGAGCTGTAAATCTGACGCGCTATATATGCTGTCAGGAAAGAGAGGAAGACCTAACAGAGAATGGCTTGATGACATAAGAGATTGGTGCCAGAAAGATGTGGAACTAACTACTTGAGCATACTGGCACAAGACAGAGGAAAGTGGAAACAAATGACGAATTGTGCAGGGGGCACCTACGGGCTATCTGCCCATGGATCGTGATGATGATAACCAATATGACCTTGTATATTTGTGCAGTCACCGATGACCAGGCTGAGACCCACCAACTCACCACACCCGGTTTAATAACATGATCCATGGGCAGAATATCGTGATGACGATGATACAAAATCGACGTTCATGTTGTTCTTTCCCCGCACCTCCGATGAGCAGTTAGCTACGCACGGTGCGAAAGAAGTTCAACATAGGCACATGTACATACGTTGCAATTGGCAAAATCGTAACAGTCACCTCATCTCCGCAGGGCCGCTGGCAGTCTTCCGCCGCGCACACGGCGTACTCGTCATCCGAGTCGTCGTCTCGACTCGTCGCTTTGCGACCGCCGGCCTTGACCTTCCTCTCCTTGGCGGCGCCGGCGCCCTCCTTCATCTTGCGCTGCTTGGCGCGCTTCTTGTCTTTCTTGTCGGCCCGCTCGACGCCGCGCCTCTCCGCTTTGGGCTCGTCCCGCTTGCCATCGCCCGCCGCCTTGAGCTTCTTCTTCTTGGGCTTGTCGGCTTTGAGGATGTCGCGCGGTGCGGCGTCGCCGCCGAACGTCAACTCGCCCTTCTCCAGCTTGCGCTTGCGCTTCTTGTCCAGCTGATCCTTGTCCCTCGCCCGCGCTTTCACTGCCTTTCCCTCCCGGCCCACCGTCTGAAAAATCAGCGACGCATTAACTTGGGGCGCCAACGGTGGCGGGATGTTAACTACCTTGTTGCTTGGTATGCAGGAGGTCGTGGGTTCGATCCGGACCCCTGACACCTGTTGTATATTTTGAGTTTGCGTGTCTCTCCCCGTGGTTGCGTGGATTTTTCTCCAGGTCCTCCAGTTTTTCCCTTCACATTTAAAATCAACATGCGTTTCGAACATTTGGCTGCGATAAATTTCCATGTGATAAGTCAATTCGTTGAGCTTTCATTTGTGGCCAGGTCGCTTCTGAAAAATAGCTATATAAGCTTAGTGGGCCTTACCTGGTAAATTATTATTTTATATATATAATTGAAGCCCCCCCCCACCAGCCCCCACCAAAAAAAACCTCTACAATTGAGTTGAAGAAAATACAGGATGTGTTGTGAAATCTCAACAATGATGCCGCTGTAGTTTATAATCGGATTATTGCACGCTTTGCAATTTTTTAAGTACATCTGAATAGAAAAGTCACAATCGTCAATAACACTGTCAATAATATATAATAGGCGAGGTTTTGGGCAATGGCCCTTTCACAGCACAGAGACGATGGAGTTAGAAAATGTTTCACTTGAAAATGGAACCAGTTGAGTGGAAGGCACAATAGAGATGTCACATGTCAAGATGAGTGTAATGGTATGCAGTAATCATGAACGGCTTCATTGAGGTACACCTTAATAGCCAAGTGGCAACAGTTGGAAAACTGAACCTATCTTTAAAGCCAGTGGACGGTTCATTCGATGTCACAATTACCTTAAAAGCACATTCGGTAAAAGAAAATGTTTAAGACCTTACAATAACCCAAAGATTTACAGACTCACATACAGGATGCAAACTGGGACATGATGCAGCAGAGTTTAGCTAAAACCAGTAACAATGTAACCCTGCCCCTCTGATAAGCGCGGTTGGCTACGTACGGTGTGAAAGAACTTCAACACACATACGTATAACTTGTATCGGTCAGAAATCCCTATGATGAAAAATTACCTGTATATTACTCAACTGGGATCGCACAAAGCACCCTCCTGAAATCAGAAGTTTAGATTCAGTGAGGGCTTGTGGGTAAAGGAGCGAAAATAACACGAGTGAATCGAACCGTACCTGGAAAAGGCCGAGGGCAGTGCCGTCTCCCGGCGGGCTCTGCGTGGCCTGCAGAATCCTCCAGAGGTGCAGGCTCTCGTCCATGCTCACCTCCAGCAGGTCACCCTCCAGGATCAGCTCCTCCAGCCGCGCCTGAGCCCCCTCCGACAGGCGGAGCACGGGCGAATCCAGCGAGCGCGGCACCAGCGGCGACTTGCGGGGCTGTTTCCGGGGCATGCTCATGCCTGCGAAACGGTGGCACAGGCCACAAACAAAGATAAACAAAGATCCCCCGTACAGCCTTAACAGACTGCAGGAGCAAATGCTTTAAGTGAGCACCAATGAAGGCC